AAACATGTAACTGGTTTAAGATAAAATCAAAATGTCTTTAATAACAAGAGAAACATAAACTTAATATTTATTGCTTAAAAAAATTTAAAAGTGAATTGGATTGTTTTATTTAAGTAGAAAATTTATTTTTGCTCGTGAAAGCAATAATTTTAATATTCTTCTTTTAGTTATGAGATATTTTATTAACTTGAACCACATTTAAACTTTAAATAAGAGCTTTAAAAGGATCCGCGCATTTTCGACTACGGTATCTAAAAAAGGAAAATTATAGGATAAAATTTTTGTAATAAACATCTAAAGGAATAAAGAATAAAATTTTTGTAATTAACATTTAGAAAAACGGTTAATTAAAGGAAAAAAATATTTGTAGAATATTTTTAAAAAAAATTTATTGACATGAAAAAAAAGCATCCTTATAATTAAACAATATAAACTCAAAAGACTTATTAGAATAAGTAAAAGAGGAAGTGATAAGTTATCTAGTGTTTTTCATAATCTTGTATCAATGAATAAAGCCAGGAGATACTAGTGATGCAAGGATGGATCATTCTGCGGAAAAATGCATACAGATCTCTTGTATGGTTAAGCAAAATTAGTACACAGCCTTAGTTTAAATATACACAAGGTAAACAAATAAATTAAGCAGACTCATATTCAATTTAATGCTCTATACAATAAATAATTTATCAGAGATACAGTGTTTAATAGATTAATAAAAACCTTTCAAACATATTGAATGCAAAATAAATCTTTAATATGTCAGTGAATTATATCAAATTTATATGAAAGAATTAGATATCCTCAACGAAACAAAAATTTTGACAAAAGGTAAACGTTTTTACTATGATACAGTTGTTTTAACTTTTAACTGAGCCATAATTCCAACAACTATACACTCAAGCAATTTGTTCTAGGGCATTACAATGCTAGACATTATTATAAGTTATGTAATTTTGCACAATTTCGCCAAATACCTCATTCAAATTACTGTAACAGAGAAATAAGAAGAAAATGCATTATACTACAAATTGTCTTACTATATGCAGTACAGCGGGTCTAAAGCATCCTTTATGACGTCATATGGTAAAAATGCATGTGGGGTATCAAATGAAAGGTCTCGACAAGCACAATACGAATATCATACTTACGAACTCAAAAAGCCATTGGGGTTCCATATACTTTATATTTAACTACAATTGAACACTTATATTCAATTCTTAGCTCTGTTTAAAGTACACCGAGTTGTTTCAGGATGTTATAATATTAGGCAATATTGTATATTAGTCAATGTTTGATAAATTTGCCGAAAATATCATTTAGATTGATCGAATGGTTTGAAAGTTACAAGAGGTGCAATATAAAATGCACAAGCAAGATTCGCATTGCGTTGTACTATATACACTACAGTGGGTCAAAAAAAACAAAATGGCGTCATATGGTAAAAAATCATGTGGGGTATCAAATGAAAGGTCTCGACGAATACTTTACTAAAATCATACTTACAGGTCTTTAAAAACAACCGGGTTTGCGTACCTTAAAATTTAATTGGATAACAAGATTCATTTTTAAAATACTTTTCCAATATTGTAATTATATTATATTAGAGCATATAATATATTTCTTAAATATTAATAATGTCATTATACAGTATATAGTAGTTTTACCCTCAGGGCTCGCACTATTCATCATGTTACCTTTCAGAGTATATTTTCGCATCCTTAACAACATACACGATGAAGAGAGGGATGCTTTAAAATTGATTTTCTTAATGCACCCCGACAAAGAACGAACGATATAGATATTTTATATAGAAAATTGTATTCTCTACTTACATTACAGCCTCCCAAAGCTATAGCTGTTAGACGTGGAAGTAATTTTTAAGCTTCGCGCACTAACATTTGGTCCAAACGAGCCGAATATTTATCATTTGGACTTTTACAACTTTCCAAAGGACACAAATAAACAATATTAATAATTTTAAGTGATCTTTTGGACGTTCAAATAAATTAATCAACCAGCAACATACAGTCCGCTAAAATATTAAAGTAAATTATTAAATTAAAATCAAATCTATAGTGCAAATGATTAAATTTAATAATATTAATAATTCAAGTGATTAGTTTATAATATCACTAAAAAAATTAATAAATTCAAGTGAGTTATTATTAAATTAAAATAAAATTAATAGAATGAGAATGATTAAATTTAATAATACCACAAATAAATGATTAAAATTCAGTGATTAAATTTAATAAAATCACAAATAAATTACTATATTCAAAAGAATAATAGTATTTCCATTATAAAATTCAATTAATAATAAATCAAATTATTAAATAAAATAAATAAGTTTAACAAAAAAGCTAACAACAAGTGTTAGCACCGCGAGGACAAAGCAAGCCGAACGGAACAGCTGAGATTCTACAACAGTTAAGAAAGTTAGTGGATAGCTTCAATAAAAATTTACGTTGTTTAGAAGCGTTAGGTGAGCCTGTCAATAATTGGGATTCATTGATTATATATTTAATGTTAAGTAAGGTGGATTCGGAAACTCGTCGCGAATGGGAGCTATCCAACAATAAAAGTTCGGACATTTCAAAATTTTCCGATCTGGTAAAGTTTCTGGATTATCGGTGCCAGGTTTTTGAATCGCTCCACTATGATAAGGTTCCAAGTATCAAATCCCATAAACAAGTGCCATTAAGAACTGACAGAATTACAAAATCATATGCGATCTCGAACGCAATGCAATGTGTATTATGCAAGAAACGTCACTTATTATTCAAATGTGAGGATTTTAAAAAACTAACAGTGAAGGAGAGAATATCGCGAGCAAATCAATTAAATGTATGTACTAATTGCTTAAATACAAATCACCATATTGATAATTGCCCAGCTTCATTTCGTTGCGTAGTTTGCCACGAAAAACATAATACCCTGTTGCATTGCGAAGAGCCATCGAAAAAACCCTCAAATGATGCTGTACCTAGCACATCATTTTTTAGTAATGAAATTAAATCACACGTCTTACTTTCGACAGCGGTCATATCAGCATTGAATAAGAACGGCGCTTGGGTTCCAGCTAGAATCTTGTTGGATAGCGGTTCACAATCTAATTTTATAACGCAGGAATTTTCAAAAAAACTTTCTTTAAAATCACAACCGATAAAGATGTCCGTTTCAGGTATTAGTCAATCTTTATCGGATGTTAGTCACAAAACAGAAGTTTCGGTTAAATCAAATATAAATTCGTATTCAAGCAACATATCATGTTTAATTTTAAAGTCAATAACAAGTCATATGCCTTCGGTTTCGTTTTCAACAAACATTTTGAAAATTCCTCCCGGTATAAAATTAGCCGATCCAAATTTTAATATCAGTGGTAGGATCGATATGTTATTGGGAGCAGATTTATTAAATTGCCCAAGACTAACACGATCTTGCAAAATACTGCATTAGGGTGGATTATTTCGGGAACAATTCAATCACATGATTTAACAAATAAAACGTTTTGTAACTTCTCAGAAATTTCAATTTTAAATAACAATGTAGAAAAATTTTGGGAATTAGAGAAAGTTGAAAATGCAAATTGTTTTAGTGATTGTGAATTAGAATGTGAACGTCATTTTGTGGCACATACTAATAGAAATTTTGACGGACGATTTGTCGTTCGAATACCTTTTAAATATAATAAAATTGAATTAGGAAATTCGAAACAAATTGCATTGAAACGATTCGCTCTTCTCGAAAAACGTTTTAAGGCTAATACAGAATTGTTCAAAGAATATAAAAACTTCATAGATGAATACCTAAAATTAGGTCATATGCGAGAGGTTAATGAATTTCGAGAACCAACAAACGCTTATTATTTGCCTCATCATCCGGTGATTAAAAAGGAAAGCTTAACCACCAAGCTGAGGGTGGTATTTGACGCCTCATGTGAGACAAGTAACGGTCGGTCACTCAATGACTTACAAGCAGTAGGGCCGACGATACAAAAGGATATCTTTTCCATTCTCTTAAGATTTAGACGGCACAAGTACGCTTTGACAGCTGATATCGAAAAGATGTATCGGCAAGTTATAATTCACAAGGATGATAGGAAGTTTCAGAGAATATTTTGGCGCGATAATTCTAATGATTCTATAAAATGTTTCGAATTAAATACGGTAACGTACGGTACAGCATCTGCTCCATTTTTGGCCATAAGATGTCTTGAACAATTGTGCAAGGAAAATTATGAAACTTACCCCATTGAATGTGAAATAATTAGAAAGGATTTCTATGTAGATGATCTAATTACCGGAGCAGATACTCTACCGCAGTTAAAAACTATAAAGCAAAATTTATTAAAAATTTTGAATCAAGCCAAGTTTAATCTACGAAAATTTAATAGCAATCACGTAGCCTTTCAAAGTGAAGATTATATCGTAAATTTCAGCGAGAAACAAATTAAAACTTTAGGGATGGTATGGAATTCGTACTCTGATAAATTTGCATATACAACAGACAGCATCACTATAAGTAATAAAATCAGTAAGAGGACAATATTAGCCACTACGGCTCAAATTTATGATCCATTAGGCCTGTTAGCGCCAGTAGTTATAATTCCAAAATTAATCATGCAAGAGTTATGGAAGTGCAAATTATCATGGGACGAAGAAGTACCATCAAAAATAACCAAAACATGGTCACAATTTTGTAATAATTTAAAATTTATCAATAACATCAATATTAATAGACATATGTATTTGCACCATCCTATCATTTGTGAATTACACGGATTTGCCGATGCATCTGAAAGCGCCTACGGTGCTTGTGTATACATAAAAACTATTAATAATAACATGGATTGCTCAGTACATATTGCAGCGGCAAAATCGCGGGTTGCTCCGTTGCGAAACATCACATTGCCGCGTTTAGAATTATGCGCGGCTCATTTATTATCAAAATTAGTTAATAAAGTTAAAGATAATTTAGAAATTTCCATTAATTGCGAAATGCTTTGGAGCGATTCAAAAATAGTACTAGCATGGATTAAATCGCCTTCCCGCAAGTGGAAAACGTTTGTTGCTAATAGTGTTTCGGAGATCCAAACCAATACGGATCCAAACAATTGGTACCATGTTAGATCAGAAGATAATCCTGCCGATTTAATTTCGCGAGGAATGTTACCGGAAGTATTAATTAATTCAGATTTGTGGTGGTTTGGTCCATCTTGGTTGAATACCACTGACAAACTTTCTTTTGGCGCAGATTTCATATCAGAAACCGAAGAAGAAATTAAACATGTTTCGTTAACAGTAATAGAACAAACCACAACTAATATATTTAATATGTATTCATCATATACAAAGTTAGTTATGGTCATTGGATATTGTGTTCGGTTCCTTAAAAATTGCAAGAACAAGGCCAAGAACAAGGGCGACTGTATCCACGGTGAATTAAAAACCACCGAAATTAATGATGCTCGCGTAAGATTAATTAAATTAGCACAACGTGAAAGATTCAAAAATGAAATAGAGTCTCTATCAAACCACGAGCCAATAAAAACTAAATCAGATTTAAAATCTCTCAACCCATTTTTAGACGAAAACGGTATTTTGAGAGTTGGCGGTAGAATAAAGTTGTCTGACTTAGGTTACGATAAGCGTCACCCAATGGTTCTACCTAAAAATCATGCACTTTCATCATTGATTGCCAGATATGAACATATCAAATCTTTTCATTCTGGAGCGCAACACTTGTTACATACGCTCAGAGAGACATATTGGCCAATCAACGGTAGAAATCTGTGTAAAGGTATTATACGAAGATGCGTTATCTGCTTCAAGGTTAATCCTACTTCTACTTCCCCATTAATGGGCGATTTACCAAAAAACCGCGTCACTCCCCATTTGCCATTCACGAATTGCGGCGTGGACTTTGGAGGTCCGATTATGTTGAGAGATCGTCGTACTAGAGGGTATAAAAAAATTAAAGGGTATATATGCTTATTTATTTGTTTTAGTACGCGAGCCATTCATTTAGAACTGGTATCGGATTTAACATCAGAATGCTTTTTAGCTACACTCAGACGATTCATCGCACGTCGGGGAAAACCCACTAACATTTATTCAGACAACGGAACAAATTTTGTCGGGGCATCGTCGGAAATTAAAAGATTAGCTAATTTTTTGCGCAAAACTAACCTTAGCAATGTTATGAAATCATTAAGTGACGACGGCATCAATTGGCATTTTATTCCTGCTAAATCACCCCATTTTGGAGGTATTTGGGAAGCCGGTATAAAATCATGTAAGTCGCATTTAAAGCGAATTTTAGGAAATGCATGCCTTACCTTTGAAGATTTCTATACAATTTTAGCACAGATCGAAGCTATTTTAAATTCCAGGCCAATTTCTCCTTTGAGTTCCGATCCTAATGATTTAAATCCATTGACTCCTGGCCATTTTTTAATTGGAAAATCCTTAACATCTATTCCCGACCCAAATGTACTTGACATTCCTGAAAACAGACTAGGACGCTACCAGCACCTGCAGCGTTTGGCACAACATTTTTGGAAACGCTGGCATAAGGAATACATTTCGGAGTTGCAGAGTAGGACAAAACGCACAGGCCGTGCAAACCAATCATTAAAGGTCGGAACCATGGTACTTCTCAGAGAAGATAATGTACCTCCACTGAATTGGCAATTAGGTCGCATTATCGAGGTGCATCCAGGACTAGATAAGGAAGTGCGTGTAGTGACAGTGAAAGTTCAAAATAACGTTTTCAAAAGAGCTGCCACTAAGGTTTGTGCTTTACCCATTGATAATGAACACAATCATGTGAATTAATAAACTAAGTGAAGTGTACAAAATAATAGAACAGAACAATTTATGACAAACAATTTAATACAATTTAATAACTTTCAATTAGTGACATGAGTTAGTGAAGTTTAAATTACTTTTTTTTAATTACTTATATTATTAGGCTTATAATTAATGTATCTTTAGTTTCGAAATAATATTAGTATTATTTCAAGGTGCCCGCCATGTTAAGAATTCATAAAGTATATTATTACGAGTGTAACATGAACTATTTTTTTTATAAGGGTCGTCGTCTAGACTATAGTGTCGCCGGACTAAGATGTAGGTGGTCTAAATTAGGTGGTCTAATGTCATTCACAGTTCAAGTGCTAGATGCATTTGTAACATAAGATATTTTTTATTTTTTGATGTTAGTTATATGTCTGGACTATCTATATCGGCGTCGATAATTTTATTTATGAGTCTGCAAATGCCTTCAGATAATTTCCAGGACTCATCCTTCTCAGATATTAAGTCCGAGAAATCATCCTCCGTATATGTAGAAATTAATGTAACCCGCCTCTTACGGGCGGGGCTAATATTGTTAATTCTAATTTTTAATAATTTTTATTTAGTATAAGTTTAGAGCGCAGTATAGAAACATCAACTATCTGTTGCCATTATATTCACCATATTTTCTTATAATATATATTAATTATCAAACGTCGCATTTTATTTAAATAATCACAGATCACACTAAGAGTTCTATTATACAATAGAACAAATTTAAAGGTGTAGTGTTTAGATAATTAAATCGACAACAACCTGTTAGACGTGGAAGTAATTTTTAAGCTTCGCGCCTTAACAGCTTTCCTGTACACAACATTAGCTATAACGTTACGAGACGAGTCGAAAATGTTTGTGTGTTATTCTTGCTAAAAGGTGGAAATTCATAATATTAGAGTAGAATTGTGTGTGTGTGTGTTTGTGTGTTTGTGAGTTTACATTTTAAAACCAGGGCCGGATTTAGCGAGAGGGCTTTTGAAGGTACACTTGCAAAATATCATCTCATAGTAATATTAAACCAGGAAAACAGTCACAACGTTTGGTTAGAGTTACTTAACTCTTCTGATGAGTATGAATGACAATTTTATCTTTTAGATCATGGGTCGGCAAGCTTTTAACTGTAGTGTGCCAAGCCACTCTACCAATATGTTTTAGAGTGCCGCCTTAATTTTGAAATATATAGTTAGGTTCTAGGGGAAAAGAATTATAACCAAATTTATCTTTTAAACATATTTATTAACAAATAACATGAATTTCTAATATAAACAGTGCCCGATTACCCCAAAGGCCCGTGAGACCCGGGCCTAGGGCGGCATTATTTAGGGGGCGGCAAATTTTTCAAAATGTAAAAATTTTAAACTCGATGAAATGACACGACAATTCATTTTAAGGATAGATTCAGATTTTTTTTTTGTAAATTTAGAGATCATTTTCGATGGAATAGAACGTAATGCATTTTCTAATCAAATTTATTATTCGTGGGTGCCGCATTGATATTTTCTTGATGTATCATATTATCAACTTCAGAAAGGCTAAGTTATAATAATCCTAAAAAATCGTAAATAAAATTGTTTATATATCTCTACGCTTTAAGTTCTCCTGAACATTTTGACATGCCTTAGAAAAAATGGATGTATACATATTATGTGTTTATGCGGTTACAATTTTTTGCCAATTGGCATTCGGGAAGACGTGCTGATTAGTTTTTTGCAAAGACAGTTTCGGAATAGGGAGCAAAGAGTTAAAAAAATGCTGATTCAATTTTTCAAAAACGAAGCGTCCGATTTGAATAATTCAAGACACTTTTTACTTGTATGACGAAATAAGAACTATCGAAAATTTTGCGAGAGCGTGGTCAGCGTTTTTGGTGATCCAAAACGGTGTCATTTGATGATAAAAAATGATCATTGACATCAAATTATTAGATTTTTTATAAAAACATTAATTATTACAAATTTTGTCTTCATTATTTTGAATCATTCCGTACCAAGATTTTTAATTTTTTCAAAGTTTACTTCTTAGATAGTTTAAATGTCCTTTGCAAGGATCAATCGCCATGAATGATTCAAAAAATATTCGCGTACTGTTTATGCAGGCAGGTTTAGCATTTTTGGAGATACAGAGCGCAGAAGGTGCAAAGTGGTCATGAAGGTTTTGAGAGTACAGATCATTCGATTGGAATGACTAAAAAAATATTTTGTTTGTGGTATTTTAGTGATATGAAGAAATGATTAGTTTTCCGAAAAGGCAAGTCCACTGGTTTCAAAATTTTGAGAAAATTAAAATGTCTAAAATTTTCAAATAATCGAATTATTTTAGAATTTAAAAAAAAACTCGAAATTCTTGAATATCTAGGTTCTATTTATCGAGTTTAGTCCAATGTCTTTTTAATTTGTGAAATCAGTTCAGGCGTTTTTGAAAATTGAATTTTGATTTATCACATCACAAAAGCGTCTTTTAACACGAGTTTTGACTATGAAGTTTTATCAAACTTTGATAAATTTTTAAAATTGTCAAATATTTTGACTCTTAATTGATATCTTTCAGAAATCTTTTTTTAGTTTTAAAAATCGGTTTCTGGCTTTATCCCAAAAATGTAATATTTTTGCTTTTTTATGCTAATTTCAAACAACCGGCTAGTTCAATCGTCCCGCAAACCTAATCAGTCCGGCAGGTTTTTACCAAAAACTAATGAATACGATTTCCAACCAAGATTTTTCGAATGGTTTTTGAATTTTTAAAATCGACTTAAAATTGTGGGGTAAAACTTTGACGAATTTTTTCTCTCTTTTACTAATTACAAAAAAAAGCTTGGTCGACCGTTAAACCTGCCTTCCCAAAAATTTAGGTAATTATTCATTCCTTTAGTACAATTAAATTTTTTTTTAATTATTCGGAAACCAGCCTCTCGGTTCTTTCAAAAACTGAATTGCAATTTTTGCACTCGTGTTCTGTATTTTCCAAACGGCTTTGTACAAACAGGCATTCCAAACCTGTCTTAGCGAAAAACTAATGAGAACTTTCTTATCTGTGAAAATGAAACATACATACATACACACACATCAATTTTTTTAAGGTATGCCAAAATGTTTAGAAATGTCTGAAACGTAAAAATATGCAAAAATTTTCATTTTCGATCTTTTGCGATTGCTATAACTTACGAGTACTTTACGCAAAGTTAAAAGTTGTATTTAAGTAATTTAGAATAAAATTATAGTTTAATTAAAAAAGTAAAAAATTGTCTATTAAAAAGGGCGCCTGATCAGATAGAGCCTAGAGCGTCAGAAAGCTTAATCCTTGTGCCTGCACATTTTTCCTTAACATTTCAATATCCGGGGTATAATTTGTAACTTTTAATTTCACACAAGATACTGAATGTTTAGTTGTTAAACGATTTCTTTGTGAACTCAAAATATATTTCATGTGAGAAAAATTTATTCACAGAGATATGTGGAACCAAAAGCTGAAAGGAGAGCGCATACAATTTTCTTTAAACAATTAAATCTTTTCCGGCAATGTCATTCAACAATTTAATATGGCTGCCGATTTTTTCATAGAGTCATCTTCCAGATTTATTTGTAATTCCTTCAAAATATAGGCACATAAGCTTCAACATCTTTGCATCTTCTGGAAAATTCATCTTTAAGTACTTCAACGTAGGTTGAATTACATTAGCGAGCTACGTTAGAAAAATAATTATAATTAAACATTTTTTCTCATTTAAAAATCACTCAATATTTGCGATTTTCCTGATTACTTTATAGAGTGCCATTCAGAACCCCATCGGGTGCCAAGCCAAGCCTGGCACGCGTGCCGTAGGTTGCCGATGCCTGGTCTAGATGGTCTGAAAATAGTCTTAAGAGTCTGAAAATGTTCTAGATGGTCTGAAATTTTATGAATAGTACACTACAATGTTTGAAAACGTTCTAGATAGGATAGAAATAGTCTAAATAATCTGAAAAAATTCTAGATAGTTTAAAAATAGTCTTGATACTCTGCAAATGTTCTAGACACTTTGAAAATAGTATAAATAGCCTGAAAATAGACAAGATAGTTGGAAATTGCTCTAGTAGTTGGTAGTCTGAAATTGTCTAGATGGGCTCGGGCTGTAAATAGTCTAGATAGTCTGTAAATAGTCTCGAAACTCTGCAAATGTCTCAAGACAGTCTAAAACTGTCTCGAAACTCTGCAAATGTTGAACTCAGTCAGAAATTATTCACGATACTCTGCAAATTTTCTAGGCTGTCTGAAAATGGACTAAAAAGAATCTGAAAATGTTCTGAAGAGTCTCAAAATGTTCTAGGTAATCCGAATATTTTATGAATTGTCTGAAAATGTTGTAGACTGTCTAACAAAAGTCTTGGTAGCCTAAAAGTAGTCTAGGTACTATGAAAATAGTCTAAAATGTCTGAAAATGTTATAGAGTCTGAAAATTTTATGAATGGTCTGAAAATGTTGTAGACAATCTGAATATAGTCTCAATACTCTGCAAATTTTTCTCGACAGTCTGAAAATGTCGTCGACAGACTGAAAATAGTATAAGTAGTCTGAAAATGTTCTGAACACTCTGAAAAGATTCTAGGTAGTCTGAAAATGATCTAGATAGCCTTAAAATACTGTAGACAGTCTGATAATAGTCTAGCCACTCTAAAGATAGTCTAAAAAGTCTGAAAATATTCTAGACAGTCTGAAAATAGTCTCGATCATAGATAAACAAGTATAATAGATTGCTATGTCTGGCGGTTTGACGTTACCTCGATTGAAATACAAATTTTTAAAAATAGATGGCAGCACATGTATAATATTTAAATTACGCCTGGTTTTACTTCTTAATTTGTACGTACTGTATACAGCCCCAAAAACCTGAATAATTTTAATATTGGAAATAAGAACAAATCATACGAAATACAAAATATATATTTTCAAAGATATTACATATGTTTAAAGAACAATTAAAATTATGTTTATATTAACAATTATAA